TGAACTCTTCTACCGAGGCGACACGAATGCGGATCGTACACTGGCCATTGTTATGCACGGTGATGCGGCACTGTGTGGCGAAGGTGTTGTTATGGAAACGTTCAACCTGAACGATTTGAAAGCCTACACCGTTCATGGTTGTATTCATGTGGTTGTCAATAATCAGGTTACTTTTGCCCTCCTTGATCCGTCTCATATCTCAAGCGCATTTCCCATTTAGCGATTGCAATTTATACGCATCAATTCGACTCATTGTGCATTAAGTTAAATTGGAAATCTAATTGATGAATTATTATGATCGCTGACAGAAGAAAACCTAACAATAAGGAATTAGTGATGCTTCACCTTATAGCATCATATGAGCCAGTCCAACTGAAGTATTGTTCGCAGTACTGAAGAAGTTTTGCTTATTGATGTGGACAAAAACTTGCTTCAGATCGGTTTCACAACAGATCCACGTGCCTCACGTTCATCACCGTATTGTACGGATATCGGACGTGTTATCAACTGTCCAATCTTCCACGTGAACAGCGATGACCCAGAAGCTGTTATCTACGTGTGCAACGTTGCATCCGAATGGCGTCGCACCTTCAAGAAGGTACCTAGCGAAAACTATTCGGAATCTATTCAATTCAATCAGAAAGATAGATGAAAGAAGTAGTGAATTGATGGTAGCATCGTTGATGTGGTCACTGTTCTAGGATGTGATCATCGACTTGGTGTGCTACAGACGACAAGGCCATAATGAGTTGGATGAGCCAATGTTCACCCAACCGTTGATGTATCAACGTATCAAACAGACCAAGCCAGTACTGAGTGTCTATCAAAAGCAGGTCGTTAGTGAGGGTATTGCCAACGATCAGTTTGTTAAGGTTACTCATTTGTTTGATTTATCATATACTTGTTTCAAACTATCTTTAATATCGAAACCCACACATCCTCATGAAATGAGTTCTCTGTTGTTTAATTCCCAATGAATACCGAAAGGATACATGAAATTGCTGGGCAATTTTTTAGGATGAAGTAGCCAAATACAATGCAATCCTCGAAGAGGCCTACGAAGATGCGCAGAAAGTGACATATTTACGTAATCGTGACTGGTTGGATTCACCGTGGGATGATTTCTTCAAGAAGCGTGATCCGTTAAAGGTTCCGGCGACCGGAATTCCGAAAGATACCGTTGAGCATATCCTTGAAAAATTCTCGAACACTCCCGAAGGTCAGTTGCAATAGTTTTGTGCATAAATTGGCTTATTGCTTGCGACATTGATGACCACATTCAATGATTAGTAACTTATTGAATGGAATATTGACGTGTGAATGCTGATTACAGGATTCAATTTGCATCGTGGCTTAGAGAGGACATTGAAAGGTAGACAACAAATGCACAAACAGAACAGCTATGATTGGGCATGTGGAGAGGCACTTGCGTTCGGTTCGCTTTTGATGGAAGGTATGGTACTTTTCATTTATTATATATTCACTACACAGGATTCTTCATACTTTTGCAAATACAATAGAATATGAATGGACAATATGGATGGATTGTGGATGGTTTTCTTGAGCGGTATGGATGATTTGAGCAAAAATAATTGCCACCCTCAATCAGGTAGTAATCAATGGATAAACCTGACGAATATTTGCAGGAACGCACGTACGTTTATCGGGTCAAGACGTAGAACGAGGAACATTCTCGCATAGGCATCACGTTCTGCACGATCAAAAAGTCGATCAGAAAACCTATAATGCCCTTAACCATCTCTCTGATAAGGTATATCTTAAGATTATTGTAATTTTATAAGTATATTTTGCGAGTTATAGTGAGATTCAATTGACCGATTCATTCGGTTCACTCTATTAGACGTTTGTTTTTAAATCACCAACGAATACGACAGTATTCTTTTGGTTTTTGATGATTTTTTTTGCATTACTTTATGTCACTCCTGCATCAGTTGCGTCAAGCCATTTGATTTCGAAACATTCAGCAAGCCGAATACACCGTCTGCAATTCATCGCTATCTGAATTCGCAATTCTCGGTTTCGAATTAGGATATTCAATGGTTGATCCAAATTCGTTGGTCGTTTGGGAGGCGCAATTCGGTGATTTCGCAAATAACGCACAGTGTATTATTGATCAGTTTATTTGCTCTGGTTCGTTTCATTTTATTTACTGTCCTCTCTTTCCATTGTAATTCAGTGATTATTATATCGAAACAAGTGCTCAGGAATCGCCATCTTGCAATGAGTAACTGATTGAAGATGAACAGTTTAGGTCAATCAAAATGGATTCGTCAGTCTGGTCTTGTTTTGTCATTGCCGCACGGCTATGAAGGTATGGGTCCTGAACATAGCAGTGCTCGTGTTGAACGATATCTGCAGCTTTGCAATGAAGACGATGAGGTGGATCCAGAGGTAGCGATTTTGTTTCATTGCAGACATTTCNACATAATCACAATTGAACGAGTAAAAATTTGAACAATGGTCGAAAACCACATTCTCAAGCTCTCTAAACAGAGGGCCGATGGCTAAAAGAATGTTTCTGTTTCTGTTTTTTTGATGATGAATTCTCCAACCAAAGAATTGCTTTATTTTTCCGGTGAACTCGCTGAAAATTTTCAGGAAGCCTTTGGTTCAGTTCTCACCGAAATCACTGTTGCGTCATCCGATGGCACGATCTCCAATCGAAGATTTCTTACCAGATACCAAATTCAAGCGAGCTTTGCCTGAAGATGGAGAGGCTGTGAAATCACCAAATAAAGTCAATCGACTTGTCTTCTGCACCGGTCAGTGATTTTCACACATTCATCTTGTTGTTGAGCGTACACAAAGCGAAAATATTTATCAAGCAGGAAGCCTAGATGACAGCGCGATAAATTGGCGCTGTTCAAAATGTTTCATTTTCGTTTATCTGTTTGCATTCGATTGCTGCTTTTTCATTTTAAAAGTTACACCAGAAGACCGTGTTCCCATGGAGTTTTCTTGATGGCAGCAAATATTTGTTAAAACTTCGTTTTGCAAACTTCACTCTTAACGTTGATCAGTGTGCTGCAGGTAAAGTCTATTATGATTTGGTGGCAGCCAGACACCATTTGGGTCTTGATCCTCAAGTGGCTATTTGCCGCATTGAACAAATCAGTCCATTCCCATACGACATCGTCATGGAAGAGTGTCTTCGTTTCAAGGGCGCTGATCTAGTTTGGGCACAAGAGGAGCACAAGAATATGGGCGCATGGGCATTCGTTCAACCAAGATTCAATTCACTACTTGCAAAGTTTGTTGTTTTTTGTTTTGATTCTTTTAGATTGTAGTTTGTAAGTTCCATCTGAAGTGTGAAGCATTTGTCAAGAGTCCATGAACAACTGTGGTTATTTCTCTCCTTTACTGATGAAAAGATTCGAATTCCGATCATAATCATACTCGAGTCATCATNACTATTTTTACATTCCGGATAAGTTGTGTCGAGTGGATGCGAATATTCGTCATCGAGCAGGTTTTGTTTCTGGAGATTTTTGGTAAAACTGAATGAGGAGCTTCGTTGAAATAATCATTAGCTAATGCATATCAATCTTATTTTATTGTTATATTGGAGTGACTAAATGAATTAATTCATTGATGAAACTACAGGCAAAATCGAGCCATCAAATACGCTGGACGACAGCCATCTTCGTCACCAGCAACTGGCAACAAATACACTCATATTGCCGAACAAAAGGAGCTGCTAGCCACCACTCTGAATGTACGCAAATCGGACCTCGAAACTTTCAAAGGATAAATTTAGAGAGCAATTAATTACGGTGAAATCATCAATAGCGTATGGCTGCGCTCGGCTGCATCTTTTTCACATTTCCTGTTTATATTCGCATTGTCTTCGTAATTCACGATCCCATTCAACTATGCCATCGAAATGCTCGATAGATGATATTTGGGTTGTGTGTTTTTCATCATTAATGTGAGATCAGAACGCATACAGTTCCACTGAAATGAGATTCCGCTTAGTGGAATTTGGTGTGATCAAAGGTTTGATATTGACCATAATTCTTTCTATCAACAAAAGAAGTGCATGTAAATTGGAGTCGTTTTAAAGCGGTTTGAAAACTTTTCGAATTGTGTCGAAAGTTTCTTCTTCATTGAGTGTTTTAAGTTATCTCACAAGTTTGCTTGACTCAGAAGCTAGCCAAATGATCTACATCAGTTTCGTTTTATTCTATCAAATATGTTCGAAAATCATTTTGCATAGGGGTTTTTAGTTTTTGCTTAGTTCATGTCTATTAATCGTTCCATTTTCATCTCTTTTGTATTTGAATGTTTGATGTATTGTTGAGTATT